CAGGGACAGCCCCAGGTTCCCCCTCAGGGTCACCCCCAGCCCCCCGGAGCCCCCCGAGCTGGGCTCTGAGCCCCTGTTCACGCAGGACTCAGAAGGGAACAGGGTCATCAAGCACTGGTGAGAGCCCAGCCTGGCCCTGCCGTGCTCACAGAGGGGAGGGAACCCCCTGGTGCAGCCCCCAGCTCCTGTTTGTTCTCATGGATGCTGCTTTAATCCAAATAAAAGTTGCAGTTTGTTTCTTTTTGGCTCTGGCTGTGTCCCTGGAGCTCGTTCCCAGGGCAGGGAGTGCTGAGAGCTCCATCTCCACCAAACCCCCCCAAATCCTGGAGCAGAGCTCCCTAAAAATGGGAATTCTCACATCTTCTCTCTGCCACACAAGTCTCTTCTTCTCTGGTTTTTGAGGTGGGGATGATGATCTCATTTTTCAAGGAGGATGGAGAAAGCCCCTGGCACCCGAATATTTGTGATTCCAGCCCCACCCCGAGCCCATCAATAACCCCACAGACCATCAGTGTCTTATTAAGGCTCCATTTTATAGAAAGGAAACAAAAATGCCATTTTAAATACAGCCATGGGGGCACTGCAGGGAAGGTGGAGCTGGGGAGAGCTCTGGGTGAGGGGGAGCTGCAGCCACAGCCAGGCCAAGCCCCTGCCCTGCTCTGCCCACACACAGACCCTGGGGAGGCGCAGTAAAACACAGGCTGGGGGCACAGGGGCTTCAGTTAAATTAGTGGCAGGAAATTAAGGCCATTCTGTCATGCAACTGTGGCTGATCTGTGAGGGAATGAACACCCAGGGCACAGGGAACCCCTCAGACCGGAGCCAGGGGGGTTTGGGGAAATAAAATCCCTTTTCCCACCACGATCCAACAGTCCCGGAGGGCTGGGAGCACCCAGGAGCTCGTTCTCAGGGTAAATAAAAACTGGGGTTTGTCCTGTTCAAACTGGGCAGGGAACTGGTTCTGTCCTTGCAGCCCAGGGCTGAACTGGAACCTAAGGAAAAGTGCAGGAACAAAGAACTCATCCAGCAGCACTCCAGGAGATCCTCACCAACACCAAACACAGCTGGGAAACAGCTCCCATCTTCTTAAAAAGGATTTTCTTAAATAGAACAACACGTGGCAAACACATCAAATCCAACTCCTGACCAGGTGTCCGTGCACAAACCATGATCAATAAAAGAGGCAGAAGGCTCAGTCCTGGGGAGAAGGCAGCTACTGTGGAGGAGCTTGTGGGAGCGGAGCTGAGGGCAGCAGCATCACTTCTCCTTCAGGGCCAGGTCCTCGTCCTTGAGGGCAAACTTCCTCCTGAGCACCTCTGCAATGAGCACGGCCGGGTCCTCCTGCTTCAGGGACGGGCGGCTCCTGAGGGGGACAAAACTCACTGCAATCAGCCCAAAACTCA